ATCCGTATCTGTATCTGTATCTGTATCTGTATATGGAGATACATCTGTGTCGGCTTGGCCAAGTGTTAATTGTTCTTAGCCATTATTAATTGATTGAATTAATGAATGAACGGCGAGCGAGCGAGGCAGACGAAATCGAATTCGAAGACGGATTGGGTGTTGCTGCAGATGATGAAATGCCAGGAGTGTTACAGTAAACAATGGCTATGAAACGACAGTGCGACAGTGCGGTAAGGCTATGCGAGGCAGTGAACTTGAAAAGGTTATTAAAAATTCAAGTGCGGTAGCCGGGGCGCTAAGGCAAATAGCCGCACTCGTATATTCGTCGCTGTCTGACCCACATGGGTGTCGCCGGATCGCCCAGATAAATGGCCCTATATATACGCACACATTACCATACTCTATATATGTGCACGGATATGGCCGATTGTCGTGGCGTTTCACGGCACTAGATTTACAGTTCGCGGAGCTCATAAAGTGATTTGCAGTTTGCTAGAGCCAAACACAAACAGCGAACTATGGTCCACGAATTCTAACGCACTCTTATCTCCAAAAGATCCAAAAGATCCAAAAGGAGCAGAAGACTTCACAGATCTGCCAGATATCGCTGGGTTAGTCAGCGACCTTGGTGCACTGCAATTTTTATTTGTTGGATTTTATAGGCACAATCATTCACTTACCAGATTTATACAAATTTCAATTTAAATAACAATAAAAATAATGAATATTTCCAAACAAATATCATTTCTCTGAAAACTCTTTTATTACCTTACAGACACTTCTGGAACCATAATAAATGATTCATTTTCAAGTGAAATGAAATTGTCATTATCATTATCTCCCGAGACATGAAGCCATAAAAACGATGGCCAAAAAGTTGCTACTATCTACAAATGAATAAAATAGACACACATTATATCCAAGAGGGTAACTTTAAATGAAACGCAAATACATTGAACAAAGTCCCAAACTGATTACCATATCAAAGTCCAGCTTAAAATACCGTTTGGAAAAACTAGTTGACATTCCAAACGAATTCTTTGTGGCGACATTTGAATAGATGTTTTCCATAAACCATAAGCGACTTTGGGTGCGAGATGTTCGACTATCTTATCTCGGCCAGTGGCTTATCTTTTGCATTAGTCAGCCGGGGAGCCAGAAGAGCTAAGTATCTCGGGATGACTGCTGGGGATTCGGTTCGGTCTTTGTTTTCGGGGTTTTTCTTGTCATTGCCATTAGGGGTTGGGGATTGGGGGTTGGGGGTTGGGGGTTGGGGATTGGGGGTTGGGGGTTGGGGATTGGGCGATCTTCACACAGATTTGATTAATAGGCGACTGGAAATACGGCGTATTACCCATAAATTTGCACGTGTCGCGCCTCCAATTAGCGCTCCATCTCGCAGCTATGTCTATCATGTGGTGTCTACGATAATTGCATAAGCCATTATCGCTGGAAGTCGCCTCGGCATATTGGGTTGGATCTCCCATCTCCCGTCTTTGCATCCGGATGACGCAGCGAGGAGGCCAAATTAATCAGTCGGAATATATGCGATATATGTATGGAATAGTGCCCCCACTTGTTTACGCACTCGATCTTAACAAAGTCAGCTTGGGGCAGATCAGTGCAGATTGTGTTGTGTCTTGGCTGTTTAATTGAAATGTGGGGAGTGGTGTGGGGATTGAATCGCGATGCCTGGGACAAAAAATTGACAATTTAACGAGGGACACCATGCTGGCCCCTTTCACCGATCGCTTCCTATCTGTACAGATATGTATATATATTCATATCTACATATGTGGATGCGAGATACACGAGTTTGATAAACGCCGGAGCTGTTTGTCCGCCTGATGACGTCGACAACTTTAAAGCGGGCCTGCAGTTCTGTATTATTCCATTAGGATCAATTGCGCAGTGCAAAGTCAATCTAAGAGATATTGGAGATATAATGATTTGGCCATTAAAAATAATAATAATAACAACCTAATTAAAAACAAAATAGTAAGAACAACTCATATTGTTGTTAGTAAAACATTTTCGGTTAAGTAAATACCTAAATATATAGTATAGGAGTTTAAGAGATCTTTGAAAACAATGTGGGTTATAAGACGACCTTGAAAGTGGGTTTAACGAACCTATATCATTCAATAGCTCAGGCGAGCTTATTTACACAAAAGAAACGTCTACTCTGTTTAAGCATAAAGTTGACAGAAACGAAAAATAACAAGAAAGGAAGCTAGATTCGGCGATCCGAAGCCTATATACCCTTGCAGTTATCAAATACATCGAACACCATTAGTTAGATTCAGATCGTGATGCTGATCAGGAATATATATACTTTTTGTGGTATCTTCTTCACTGCGATGCGAACTTCTGACTGAAGTTATAGTAACCTCTGCTAGGGTATAAAAAGAACAAACGCCTAATGGAGCACAGTCGGCCAACAAATGTTCTTTAGACCAAGTTGCCAGCCAGATTCCCGCGAAGCAAGAAGGCCAATACATTGCGGATATGGTGCCCGATTGTTCGATTATGTGTTTGAACGGCACCGCATCTGTTTATCAACCTATCATAACAATATACCCGCACTCGTATATACCCATATCCATATCCATATCCATATCATATCCATATCCATATCCATATCGTGACGTTGGCCGATGACGACGATAACCGAAATTGAGACACAAAACCCGAGGAGCGATGGGTACAACAATAAACGACAACGTCGTTCGTTAAAGCAAACAAATAAATAATTAATAAATTAAAAATGAAACGATAAAAATTGCTTGACGGCTTGTCTGGCTTTTGTTTTTGCCCAATCGCCGTGCATACATGTATATGGACTTAAGTGGGGCTTTTGTTTTGTTTGTCGATCTATCCGTTTGTTTGTTGTTTTGCTCCAAACAGTTGACGCAGGAGAGCTGCAGCCCCGAAGCCCACAAATTTGTTTCGTTCAATCTTTGACACTTTCAAAGGTAAAATCCCCTTAGAACCTCCATTAAACAGTCAAAAACATTTTATTTTAACCGGGAAGATTTTATCTTTCATATTTTAAGTCCCTTGAAAGTTCAATCACAAATTCGATTTTTCCGTTTTTTCGCACTTTTCTTTTGGAAAAACTTGCATAAAATGGCCAAAAATGATGTTATCTCAACGGGATAGGTATTTACTTTCATTTTTCAAGCACTATAACAAAGTTGCATACCGACTTTTTTGAAATTTAGAACATAATTTTTTCGAAATTTTTGGGGGGTTCTCCTGGAATTTTTTGCAAAAAGATTTTTCCGATTTTTCGCACTTGCATGAAATGAAAATGATGTTATCTCACCGGGAGAGGTATTTTCTTTCGTGTTGCTTTTTTTGTGGGGGTCCCCTATCGGCTTTTTCCAATTATCCAAAATTTCAAAAAAAAATTTTTTACCGTTAATCCAACAACCCTAAATTCTTTGGCTACAAATTTAATCTCCACCGTACATTTCCCATACACCCCATATGGCCCCGTGTTCCTCGATTTATCATTGGCGTTGCGCCAATTGTTGTCTCATCTCTTCCATTAACGGCAATTATTGGCAATTATCGAATTAAGATGTGCTAAAACGGACGGGTTGGGGGGAAATGGCGATATCGCTGCCGTTAAATCCAATTTTCAATTTATCCCCACCACACACACTGGGATACTCCACGATGGTGGGCGTGGCGTCGGCATCCGATAATTTCTAATGAAAGTTGAAAAGCGCCGCTCGAAGCGATTGGCTGTCGTGTGAATCCCAGACTCGGTCGAACTGCAACCGGCGGTAGACACGTTCGAAGCGCCATCGAACTTCCTGACTGCGAACTTCACGGCGATGCTGCGCAGTCGACTGCCGCACAGTGGGACTAAATCAATAGCTCCAATCTATAGCACACATTTTCAATGATTTTTTATTAAATTAAACCATTAAGACAACGAACTCATCGCATTATATTATTCCAATATATGCCACGATAGTACAACATTTGAGAACCAAAAATGTTGTACTATCGAAGCTAGTTCGCGGAAACTTTAAAGCGAATCTCGTAATATTCATTAGCGTCATGTACTTAATGGCACTTAGCATTTCATTTACATTTGATTTAAAAAACGTATTAGGCAATTTGCCAATTGGCTAATGTTTACCAAATCTATTTGATTTAGTTTAATTTGTTAGCCAATCAACTAATTTGCATTCAAATGTACGGAAGCTGAACGACGAGGGTTTGACTCAAGATTTTCTATTGAATACAAAATGGTAAATATTCTTAGAATTTGAGCGAGCTCTAAAAAAATATAATTATAGCTTCCTGTTATAATTGCTTATTATAATTTCATTGTTGCTAATTTTCATCTATTATTTATTTGGTTCGTGAAACGTAGTAGGCAATTTGCCAACCAAGTAATATTTGCCAAATCAATTTGATAAGTTTAATTTGTCGGCCAAACAAGTGATTTGCATGTGAATGTTCATTTAATGCACGTTTGCAAGGTATTTCAAAACAAGACAGTAAAATTCGAAACGATTTTGAAAAGACACAAGACAAAAGACCAAGAATTCGCGATCCTGAAATTCTTACGTTTTCTTTAAATAGGTTCTTGTAATATTTGTGAACATGTTATTTTGCACTTTATTTATATTTGATTTTTAAAACGTAATAGGCAATTTGCCAAGTGGCCAATGTTTACCAAAACAATTTGATTCATTTTTGTGGGCAAGCGGCCAATTGGCATTTCCCGTTTTGGCCCACTGTGCGATGCTCAGCTGCAGGCAGCACAGAAGAAACGGCCGAAAGCAAACAAAAAACGGGCCGAAAAAAAAAGCAACAAAAAAAGCTCGTGATCTCTGGTTCTCTCTCTTCGCCGCTCTCTTCTGCTGCCAGCAGCGACGTCAACAGCGACGCCGACTGAGACGTCGACGGCATGCAAACAGGATCTGAGCGTATATTACGTAGCGCCGGGCTTTAAGCCAACATCATTCCCAAGCGAACGGCCAGCGATCAACGTTTGGCCAGCAGCAGCAGCAGTCGAGAGCGATAACGACCAGCTGATTTTTGCCATTATCCATTATTTTATCTGGCATCGTATCGTCACAACAACAGCAGCAACATCAGCAGCTACAACAACAAGGGCATCTCACCCCCGCAACAACAATTACAACAGCGATCTGTGACAAAAAAAACCGAAGAAAAAAAGTGAAGTGATCTCTCCGGCGCTCTCACGCTCTCTCGGCTCTCTCTCGTCGACTTCGGCTCGGGCTTTTTGACTTCGGCTCCGGCTTGTAAATTACTTGCAAAGTTAATTTTAGTCTCGGCTTTTAATACCGTTTTAGTGCGTTTTCAAGTTGGTCGTGCTTCACTCTCCGATCCGACAAAAAATTCAATTCCCAAAAAATAATTCAATAAAATCGAAAATAATCCAGCACACACAACAATTAATATCAAAAATACTGAATGTGACTCTTTGGTGACATATCCTCGTGACTTTTTTTTCGGCTCCATTTTTTTTCCAACGGAAATGTAAACCATTCGCCCCCTAAGCCCCCAGCTTCCTGCTTCGAAGTCCAGAACAAAAGCGCAACCAAATCCAATTACATAACATTTAATTAAATTGCCAAAAAAAAAAAAAAAAAAACAAAATAAAATCAAAAACAATAATATCATAATTCACGAGTTCAAAAACGCGCTCACCAATACAAAGGCGAACGCATTAAAAGACGGAAGTGCATTTTTTTTCGTTAAGCGGCAAAGCAGCGCATCCTGTTTTTGGGCCTTCCACACACGTTCACGCACACACACGCACCCCGAACTAACACACACACACCGAGGACGGAGTCGCTCTCTCGTATAAGAGATTCACATAACGGTAAGTGGATGGGCATATTTAATGTTATAAGGATCCGTAAAATATAAAAATAATACAGTGTCGTATAAAACATTTAAGAATTTATTTTTTTTGAGAAAAAGAAAATAAAATAATATTTATATATGGGTTGACAAAATACGAAGAATACGAAATTTTATTTAAGCTTGGCTTGATTATAGTTAAAGCACATACAATACTAATAGCAAAGCAGGACAAAATATTTTTAGGTAAGCCTACTAATAGTTTTTCATGGATGTTATGTAATAAGAAAGGATACTAATTGTTTTTCTTAAATTATTTTAATAAATTATATTAATGATACTAAACTGTTGAACATTAAAAATTAACTTATATAACACACTTATTTATATAAGAATAATTTTGTTCAAAATGAATGTTTTATATAACCTATCCCAAAAGTGTTTTTCTTTGAAAAATATCAAAGCACTTAGACATTATTTGCATCTATTAATCATTTTATAAAAATACAACAAACTGTCTTAATCATGAGAATTTATTTGTGAAGGCGAACACCCCAAGACAAAACAAATGGTTGGGACAAATATAAATAAACAAATTGCATAAACTTTGCGGCTTAGTGGGACCCAAAACAAAACCTAAAACAAAACAAATTAAAAACCAAACAAAAGTGGAGGTTGTTAGGCAATTCTAATTCTAATGAAAGCCGAGTGGGCGTGGCAAATGGGGTTGTTCCCCCTTAAGCGGAGACTTTAACTAAAACCGATCAAAAATAATTTGTGAGAACCCTTAGGACCACATTTTCCTACAGTTTGTTTGTTTCTATTAATCACAAAAATCACTTGAGTGGTGTGGGTTGAGTAATGCCTTTAAAATGTGGAAACATGGCCACTTTTAGTTACAACCCAATTGTGGCACCCAATTTATTTGTGGCCAAACTTACGATAATCACTTTTCACTTGCTTATTCAAAAACTTTTGCCTATTGCAACTTTCAACTTAGGAAAGTGAATGACTTTCAAATGAAGGGCGATGTGAGTTAATGAAGCTAAAAATTCCAGACTTATGAAGCCTGGTAGCCAAAGGCTAATACCAAATGTTCGATGTACATTAAATACAAGGCTAAAAACTAGTAACAAAAAGTCTAAAGTATTTCTGTAGTAAAAACAGGCAATAAATTATTTGGTTCAGATTATGTTTGAAGGAAATATTTGGGTCGTGTTTAATTTGAAAACAAATTCGCCTAAATTTCCCTACGTACCCGCATCGTTATGTCGGATAATTTGGCACAAATGGCATTTGTGGGTGGTCCACACCCACACGCCCATTTACGGCCATGTGACGCGATGTCTGATGGATACTTTTTGGGATTTGGGACCAGGGGGGTGCCTGGGGACCCGGGGAATCGGAGAGCCGGCCACTTGGGATTTGTGATTTTTGATTTTGGCATGCGCGATGCAGAGACACGGGGCGTTATTTAAGCGATGGCCGCGCATGCGCAGCTTGTCAATCGGCGTCGGCGGCTGGCGGGGCTGCCTTTTTGGCTTATTTGGCTTATATGGCAGGCAACTCACATCTGGCACCCCGGATCAGCATAGAAAACTTTCACTGGGATCCACTAGCGCTGTTTTATTTCATTTTTTTTTATTTTTCTTTAGCTTTTTTTCGAGTTTTCGAGAGCCAGGTCGCATGAAGATGCGTTGCAGGCGGATTTCCGCACACAAATTGCCCACTTTCAATGGCAATTTGCATAAATGTTGCGATAACAAATCACCCAGAAACAACTGCTGCTGACAAACAGAAATACTAATACTAAGTTCTAATTAAAAGTGCTGGCCGCCGGGGAAAAAAACTAATTAACATTTTTCGAGTGCCGCGCGGAGCGAGAGGAGCTGAAAAAAAGTTGAAAAAGTTAAGTAAATAAAGGTGAGAAAATCAATTCATGACGACAGTGGCAAGTCAAGTGCCCACTTGAGTGGAAAATCAATGCACTTCCGCAAAAAAAAGGCAACGAAAAAATCAAACGACAAACACAGGCAAACACAGATACAAATCAAACTCTATTTTTAATTATGAAATATTTATGGCACAATAAGTCGCGCAATAATTGTAAAAACTCATAACGGTACGGGCAATAGAACACGATTATTCTTACCAGATTTATTAAGCCTTATTTAATTGTCAGCTTTATTATTATCCAACCGAAAAAATATATATCCGAGCAATTATTTAAACGCTTTGCGGGCAATTAAAATTTGTTGCTTAATTAAACTATAAACTAAACAATTACATTATTGAATATTCAACGATGAGAATTTTAGGCATTTTTCCAGGCAATCAGCAAATATTTTTACTAACAATTGTTTGAAATATTTAACTATTTTCAAATTGCTGAAAATTAATTATAATGAAATAGCTTTATTACGTTGAAAACATCTTGGCTTTTAAAATCCAAAAAACCTTGATGGCTCTACTTTATTATGCTAGAAATCTCGTTGGAAATAGCAAAACATTCCAATAAATTAACACCAATTTGAAAATGCATAAGTACCTTCTGGCGCAATTGTGTTTAAAACTTTTATTTGACTATTTATTAATAGGTACATCAAATTGGCCTGCATAATAAATTGCCATGAAGAAATCTTTGGGATGACAATTAATAAATTCCTTGCATTTAAATTATCAATTTGTGTATCAGGAAGGCGGTCGTAAATATGCGCTTCTACTTCCAAACATGGCCATAAATAAATACCCCTGAAGTAATCATTATCTAAAATAGATGAAAACAAATACACGAATTATTGTTCTTAATGACGAACGAGCTTCTCAGTTTCTCAGATAGTCGGTCATTAATCAATCAAGAGTATAGCCAAAAAAGCGATAAAAATGGCGGCAACTTAAATTATGGACTCGACCAACAAAATCGAAGCTCATGGGTTTATATATAGTGTGCGATATAGATCGATCCAAGCGGGAAGTTTTCCTTTGTTGATGGGTGAACTTTCTTTATTCCATATGCCATTCGGTTAATTTCCCTATAGGTGATTTTATTTACTCATTCAAGTTTTTCGGGGCTGTTGACGTTGCAGATACAAAACAAAACGAAACACAATGCTGATAATACCACAATGTCTGACTTCTGCGGCTGCTATATGGCAGCTATATGTGCTATCGTGTTGATGTCGTGTTGCGATCGTTTACACAACGAATCTGAACGTCTTGAATGGCAGCTTGACTTTATTACTCATACGCCCCGTGGTCGATCTTAGCTCTTAGCCGCATCCTCGCTGGCACGACCAGTGCCAAATGGCCGGGCAAATATTGTCTCCCGTCGCGTTAATACACTGGGCAAATCAAGTTTATGTAAACTACAAATTAGTACCGCTGCCATATGCCAAATTGGAGCGTCTTCCACGTTATCACTTCATTAAAGTTGGCAACACGGCAAACAGCCGCGCCCATCACCATCATCATCATCATCATCAGCAGTTCGAATCTAGACATCGGGGTGTAATTAGTCAGCCGACTCAGCCGATTTGAATTTTTCGGGGAAGAGTCCCAGAGCCTCGCAGACTCACACTGCTTTTCAGCCCGATAAAGAAGCGAAGTTGGCGAAACTGGTTAACACAACGCGGTGGCTAGAAATGGGCAAAAGGCGGCTTGATAATCGTGCTCGGACTATAGAATTCGCTGAAAGCCATGTTTGCACGTAATCGTATATTTTCCCGGAATTCGCCATAGCATGATTAAATAAGGAGAACAATATCTGATAAAATGCGCCACATATTCACCTCTTTTATAGCGGACATACTGTTTTTTAGCACTAATCCCGCCTTTTATTTACCACACAATTTATGGCTGCTCTATATATTTCATTTAATTGTAATGTTATGCATTCGGAAGGTTAGATAAATTATACAGTTTAGTACTTTAGACAAACAGTAACTGAGATTATTGTTTCAAGGGCACTTAGATCCCTCTAGGTAGAAGTTCCCTAAAACTAAGGCTTTTTTCTGGCCTTAGTGATCTACATTTAAGTGAGTTGGTTGTAAGTGATCGAATCCATAGCCAACGTTGCATAAGCCTCGAAAGTCAGCCACCATGATGGGTGACAAAAATAAAACTAAAACTTGTTTACATCCAATATTGATATATATATATATATATTGTATATACGGATCATACATGTTTGTAGGTTTCTTTTGTTGACGCTGACGAGTTTCTTTTGTGAATGAAATAAACATGAGCGCGCTTGTAACCTCTAGAATCGGAGTTTCAAGGCGATAACTGGGAAAACTTCCAAGCCGGAGTCAAAACTTTCCATTAGCAGGCTCTCCGATCTCCGATCTGCTGATGTTTCATTTTCTTATAGGGTTTTCGGCCAGAAGGGAAAACGAATACAGAAAGACAGAAGGACAGAAAAACGGTAGCCAGCAATCATTATCGTTATAAGGTGCGCTGTGGGTTTTATGATCGGGTTTTATTGTTATTTATAGGCAAATAATTACCAGCTCCCTGCGATAAGGCCAGCGTATGACCAGCCACGTAGCTGATGAGCCCGAATCCGATTCGGAATCCGAATACGGGTGTACGGTGTACGGGTATATAGCATCCAGACTCGTGTCCGCACGCAGATAAGATTCCGTATTCGTTTTCCCACTCGCATTTCATAATATCACCGGGTGATATGATAGTGCTAGAAGCCTCTCAATGGCAAACATTGAACTTTGATGTGCTCGGCGATTATATAACACGTTCATTATGTCCCATTATGCACCTTTTTTTCGCCTTTTTCTCTTCTTTTCTTTCTCTTTCCGTTTCTGTTTCTGTTTTCGAGAGGCTTGGGAAAGACCCGTGTTTCTGCGACGCAGAAAAACACGGATAAAAACGTAGAAACACCAGAGAGCCAAACAATTGAGTTTGAGCCGCAGGCTGAGCAAACACTTAATGACAAACAGCATAGGCGGATTGTGATTTTTGATTTATTGGTCCGAAAAAAAACACAACCGGACAGATGACACG